CGGATGGGTGGGACTTTGGGTTCCTCTTTGGTGGGCTGTGGCTTTTCTGGGTGAACACTTTCAATTGTGTTACGAAAGGACTGACGGTCTTCGAGCCGGGGCTTCTTCTCGGGGAAGGAGGCGGAGGCGGCCTGCTCAAAGCACTTCCTCTTCTGCTCCTTGGGCTCCTGATCGTGCGACTCCTGCGGCAGGGCGGGGACTCTGCCGGCTGCGGCCGCCGGTGCCGCGTCGTCTCCCTCGCTCGGGAGCCTGGTAGCCTTGGGCGGACTCTCCGGCTGCGGAGGGGCCTGGCTCCCCTGGCGCGAGTCGACCTCCGGTTCCACCGCTCTGCAGCTGGGCGGCTCTGGCTCCGCAGGCACGGCGGCCTCTAGGGCACTCTCCGCCGGCTCTTGCTCGCGGGGCTTATGGAGGCTCCTGAGGGTTCTGCAGCGGAGGGAGCGCTTCTTGAAATGCCCATCACGCTGGCGGGTTACGGGACCAGGCTGAGTCCTCACGGGTCCCCCCGGGGAAGGCTGGGCAGTGCCGTTCTTGGTATCGTCTGGCACCGAGTTTTGCTCTGGGAGCTCCTCCCTGGTCAAGCCCAACCTGTAGAACAGGGACAGAAAAGAGTTAGGGTACAGTTCCCATAGGAAGGATAAGAACATCAGAGAAGCCAGTGTTGGATCAGGCCAATGGCCCATCCAGTCCAACACTCCGTGTCAAACAATGGCCAAAAACACCAGGTGCCCTCAGGAGGTCCACCAGCGGGGCCAGAACTCCAGAAGCCCTCCCACTGCTGCCCCCCCAAGCACCAAGAAGACAGAGCATCACTGTCCCAGACAGGGTGTTACCTCTACCCCTTCTGGCTAATAGCCACTGATGGACCTCTGCTCCATATAAGAACATAAGAGAAACCATGTTGGATCAGGCCAATGGCCCATCCAGTCCAACACTCTGGGTCACACAGCGGCCAAAACCCAGGGGCCATCAGGAGATCCACCAGTGGGGCCAGAACAAAGTCACCACCCCGTGCGCACCCCCCCCCCCCCAGCACCAAGAAGACAGAGCATCACTGCCCCAAACAGAATGTTCCATTTATACCTTGTGGTTAATAGCCACTCATGGACCTCTGTTCCATATAAGAACATAATGGAAGCCATGTTGGATCGGGCCAATGGCCCCTCCAGTCCAAAAACCAGGTGCGATCAGGAGGTCCACCAGCGGGGCTGGAACTCCAGAAGCCCTCCCACTGTGGCCCTCTAAGCACCAAGAAGACAGAGCATCATTGCCCCAGACAGAGTGTTCCCTCTACCCAGTTTGGTGTAGTGGTTAAGTGCGCAGGCTCTAATCTGGGAGAACCGGGTTTGATTCCCCACTCCTCCACTTGCAGCTGCTGGATGACCTTGGGCAAGCCATAGTTCTGTCAGAGCTGTTCTTGAAAAAGGGCAATTTCTGTCAGAGCTCTCTCAGCCCCACCTACCTCCCAGGATGTCTGTTCTGGGGAGGGGAAGGGAAAGGAGTTTGTAAGCCGCTCTCCCTTGGGTAGTGAAGGGCGGGGTATAAATCCAATCTCCTCCTCCTCCTCTGGCTAATAGCCACTGAAGGACCACTGCTCCATACAGTTATCCAGTCCCCTTTTGAAGCTGTCTATGCTTATAGCCACCACCACTTCCTGAGAACATGAATTCCACATGTTCATTAAAAAGGTAAAGGTTCCCTTGCTCGAAAGCGAGTCGAATCCGACTCTAGGGTTGCGGTGCTCATCTCCATTTCAAAGCCGAAGAGCCAGCGCTGTCCGAAGACGTTTCCGTGGTCATGTGGCTGGCATGACTAAACACCAAGGCGCACGGAACGCTGTTACCTTCCCACCGAAGTGGTACCTATTTATCTCTTTGGTTAAAAGAAGTCCTTGTCGAATAACAGGACTGTTTTATCAGAAGAGCAAAAACTGAGCAGAGCCCAGCTGCAGGGGTGCTTGACCAGTGCCACTGGGAATGGGGTGTTTGCCAGCTTCATCTCTTGAGGCAAGGAAGGTGCGTGGCAAGTTAAGGTGCCAATGCACCACCAGGGCTTAGCTGGCTCCCAGCCCTCTGTGGCATGCGAGGAGACCGGCATCCCCTCCTGGGCCTGTATTGCCTCAAGCACCCCCAGGGCTCTGCTGGGACCCGGCCGCCACCAGACTGGGCCCAGGAAGTGATGGGTGTCCCTTGCCTGGACCACAAAACACCCCGAACCAGCTCTGGCCAAAAACACAGCTGGATATATTTAACCACTTGAAGGGGAAATGTATTTGCCAACACACTTGTCAGCTCTTGTTTAATCATCCCTGTGCCTCTTCACTGGAACATGGAGAGCCAGGAGGTGGAATTTGACCCTACGTGTTACCTCCCCTCTATCTTCAGAAGCAAAAGAGATGGAAGTCTGGCGAGAGAGCTGGAAACTGAGGGGACCTGGACATGGGAGCCAGAGGGAGCTAACGGCGCAAGCGCACACACACACACACACGACTCACTTTTGCCCATAGTAGTCCTCAAAGAATCGCTCCTTCCACTGCTCCGTTTTCTTCTCCTTCTCCATTTCCTGTCTTATGCGAACTTGCATTTCGTGAGTAAATTCACCTGGGGGGGGAGGAAAAAACCCAGCAAAGTGAAACATGCTGCTAACCATCAGGGGAATTCCAAAAGAACCAGCTTGACTAGAGGAATCCAGGGCAAAGGCAACTCTAAGCCTCGGTGCTCTGTTGCAAAGGCCAACCCCACATGAAACACACCTGAAGCTGCCTTATACCGAATCAGGAAATACAACAAACAAGGAAGCCTTCAATTTTTAAATCTGGCTGGCAAAATGGGCTGTATCAACATGCTGAGACCTTTCAATACAATAGGATTACCCCTGAGGAAGATTGGGGACAAAATGAGCTTATATAAAAGAGAGCTTTTTGCCAGCCAAATTTAAAATTGAAGGCTTCCATCCGGGTAGAAAAGAGGACTGGTTTGCTACTACTATAAATACGAATACAGTGTTCATGGAGAGCATTTAACCCAGCATAATACAGAAGGCTTTTGCACCTAGTTGAAGAAGACAAGACTGGCTTGCTCCTAATACAAACACTTGAAATGGAACCAGAAGATAATCTGAAGAAACTAAAGGAGGAGGTAGGCACCGGTTTGCTCCTAACACTGAGCTGTATCAAGAGGCTGATACCTTTCAATAAAATAGGATTACTCCTGAGGACGATTGGAACGAAATGAGCTCATATCCGGGCGCTCGTTGAGAATGATCGACTTTTCCCTGTACTATTGTAAAGTTTTATTTATAATATAATATGATCTTTACTAAATGTCCTGGTCATTCATATCACAGTGTTTGCTTGTTTGTCGTATTTCCTATATGGATACCTGTGATTTTCCTGGAGAACTGGGTTTTCTTCTCCTTTTTCCTCTTCTTCTTCTACTGAATCGGACCCTCTCAGACCACTGAGGTCAGAGCTGCCTACTCTGACTGGCAGCGGCTCCCCAGGGTTTCAGGCTGTGGTTTTTCTCATCCTGTTAGGCGGAGAGGCCGGGGATCGAACCAGGGACCTTCTGCATGCCGAGCAGAGGCTCTTCCACTGAGCCACGGCCCCTCTCTGTTGGGTTATTCCTTTTAATTTTCCTACACCTGGCAATGCTGGCTGACGGTCAATATCAACTGTGACACCCTGGCCTGAGAAACGACAGAAATCTACAGAAAGAAAGAAGCTCCATAAATAGTTATTTGTCAACCCAGGAGCTCCTCAACAGAAAGCCCAGTCAGAGAAGACCAATGTCCTGCAGCATTGCACATCCTCTAGGGAACACTCTCCGTTTGCACGGAATAATGCTGAGCAGGGGTCATTTCCTGCAGGAGCGCACAGGAGCGGAAATACGGCAGGAAAGAGCCCAGGGGGGGGGCACATGGAGCAAGCCCCACCCCCTGCTCCCAGCAGCCCTCAGTCAGAGCAAGAAGCAGCCAGGTAAGCTGCAGAGCCCCCCTCCCGGCCCCCCAGTCCAAAAAGAGACCAAGTTTTATTCAGGTACAAGCTCTCCCTCCTCTGCGAGGACAGATCTGCATGTCCCCCCCAAAAAAAACAAATAGCTAGCAATCCAAAACAGTCCAGTGGAGCCTGAGCGGTGGGTGTTGCCTTCTGACACACTTCCGGTGATGTCAGGGGGAGTGGCATATGCAAATAAGTTATGCGAATGAGTTATGCCAATGAGGTCCCGCTCCTCTTTTTCTACGAAATGACCCCCCCGATGCTGAGGCCAAGCGAGGCAGCCTAGAAAAGGGTACGGAACTCCCCATGACTTCTTTTCAATGGCAAATGCTCACAGGTTCTTCAGCCCCTAACCCAATGAGGCAAAAATACCTGAAGATCGCTCTGGGATGCCTTTCCCCTGAAAAAGAACAAAGCCACAGCCTCTCCCAGAAGACTTTGCTCGAGTCTGGCCTTTATGAGGCCAAGAAAGGACGGGGGCAGGGACCGAGTACACCAACCAGAGGCGGGGGAGCACTTCAAAACAAACACAAACCGGCACACCAAGCATGCCACCGCTGGGACCCTAAACCCTCTGCGTCCAGTTCTTGTAACCCACCAGAAGACACAGCGGATATTTCAAGGCACCCTTAGAGACCAACAAGATTTCCAGGGTAGAGGCTTTCGAGAGCCAACGCTCCCTTGGGCAGGAAGCCTTGTGGGTCTCAGGATTCGAATCTGGTGTTCTACTGGTTCCACTTAAGTGGGTTTCCTACAGGAGTTCTGAAGCTTCCACAGCTTAACGAAATGACAGCCGCAAACCAACTCAGCTGTCATAAGAACATAACAGAAGCCAAAGTTGGATCAGGTCAGTGGCCCATCCAGTCCAACACTCTGTGTCACACAGTGGCCAAAAAGACCAGGGGCCATCAGGAGGTCCAGCAGTGGGGCCAGGACACTAGAAGCCCTCCCAATGTTGACCCCCCCCCAAGCAACAAGAAGACAGAGCATCCCTTGCCACAGACCGAGAGTTCCTATCTATATACCTTGTCGCTAAGAGCAACTGATGGACCTCTGCTCCATATGTTTATCCAATTCCCTCTTATAAGAACATAAGAGAAGCCAATGTTGGATCAGGCCCCCCCAGCACCAAGAAGACAGAGCATCCCTTGCCCCAGACCGAGAGTCCCTATCTATACCTTGTGGCTCATAGCCACTGATGGACCTCTGCTCCATATGTTTATCCAATTCCCTCTTGAAGCCATCCATGCTTGTAGCCGACGCCACCTCCTGTGACAGTGAATTCCATGTGTGAATCACTCTTTGGGTGAAGAAGTACTTCCTTTTATCTGTTTTAGCCCGACCGCTCAGTAATTTCATGGAGTGCCCACAAGGAGTTCTTGTATTGTGAGAAAGGGAGAAAAGTACCTCTTTCTCTACCTGCTCTTTCCCATAAATAATCTTACAAACCTCAATCATGTCACCCCTCAGCCGTCGTTTCTCCAAGCTAAAGAGCCCCCAAGCGCTTTCACCTGTCTTCACAGGGAAAGTGTTCCAACCCTTTGATCATTCTGGTTGCCCTTTTCTGCACTTTTTCCAATGCTTTTTCCAACCCACAGACATCTCCAGTTGAGGCAAAATGGAATTTTCCCAATGCTATAATATCCTTTTTGAGGTGTGGTGACCAGAACTGTATGCAGTATTCCAAATGAGTTCGCACCATCGATTTATACAGGGCCGTGATGATACTGGCTGATTTGTTTTCAGTTCCGAGCAGCCTGCTCTGCTCCAGAAGTGGAGGCGCCCCTCCAAGGCCTGTCCCAAAAGAAGAAATGGCATGCTTACCATCGGCCAGCCGCTCCCGCCAGCTCTGGGCAGCGTGGGTAAAGAATTCATTGTTCAGAGCGCTCCCACTGAGACGCATCAGCCCGTCCGCCCCAGCCTGAAACGAACAAAGACAGGGAACGGGGTAACATGCACAACCGTTCTGGAAGAGCTAGATTTGAACCCCAGAAGCTTCTCAGAGAGCGAGTTTGTTCTTGTGACCGTGTGGGGCTCACGTCATTCTTTGGCCCCCAAGATCTGCAGTAGACCCGTGAAAGAATCCTGGGGAATATCTTACCACTACGCTCAGGGAGGTCAGACTGGAACAAACAGGTGATATTACTTGCAGATAAGAGAGAAATGCGTAACGCTACAACTGGCAAAGTTTGTGGCCCGGGTTATAAAGATACAGTCAAAACCTTCTCATGCAAGTGTGGGTAATGAACACTGGATCACTCTTCACTGTGCCAATAGTAAGCTATTGTTAATTCTGCTTCTTTTAGCTATAAAGGTTATGTTTTAAATGCTTTCGAGGTATTTTAATCTTCTAGCCAGTTTGGTGTCGTGGTTAGGTGCGCGGACTCTAATCTGGGAGGAACCAGGTTTGATTCCCCACTCCTCCACTTGCACCTGCTGGATGACCTTGGGCAAGCCATAGTTCTGTCAGAGCTGTCCTTGAAAAAGAGCCGTTTCTGTCAGAGCTCTCTCAGCCCCACCCACCTCACAGGGTGTCTGTTGTGGGGAGGGGAAGGGAAGGGAAAGGAAAGGAGTTTGTAAGCCGATCTCAGACTCCTGAGTGAAGGGTGGGGTATAAATCCAATATCATCTTCTTTTAATGGATATCTTTTGGATTTTATGTGATACTGGCATTGTCTCATTTTGTGTTCATGGTTTCACTGTGTGTCAGGTAGCCCTGCCATAGGTCTGGAGTGTGGAGGGGTGGCCCTCCCCTTTTCTGTCTCAGCTCTCCCTGGCTCACCAACTGTTTGCTATCTTATGCTTGACCTTGTAGATGCTCCAGCTGCAGTTTTACCCGGCTGGGAAAGTCAACGGCTTCTCGCTTTGCCTGCTTGCTTTTGCCTGCACGTGCGAGATGTATCCATTGGCTTAGGCTTACCGGGGAGATGTTTGATTCTAGTATAAGTCAGAGGCCCTAGTATTGGCGGCCATTCCTGACACAAGCTGCACACGTGGTCTCTAGTACTGGATGTACCAATAAACAGTTATCTTCTCATGAAGCCCTGTGTTGCGTGACCTGACTAAGGACCCTGACACTGTGGCTTTGAGCTAATGCAGTAAAACAGACAGACTGACCTTAGAGACCAACGTGATCCAACATTTGACTCTCAAAAGCTCATACCAAGAAACCTGCTTGGTCTATTAAGATGATACTGGACTCGAGACGAGGTGCTCCCATCAAACCGACCCCCGAAACAATCATCCTGGGAGAGAGGCTGGATGCTCTGAACACACGGCAGACGGTGAGCACTTACCTGCCGGTCCACTTCAGGGAGGAGGAGCAGAAGCTGCTGCTGGAAGGGCAGGGGCAGCGCGTTGAAGGTCCTGGAATTGATCAGCGCCCGCAGGTTTGTGTTCACGAGGATGGAGCCCGGCGTCTCAAAGTCTATATCGTCGCCCCGGTTCCTCTTCATTTGTCCTGCGGTTTCCAGAGAGCCCCATGAAACCAGGAAAACTGACACAGCTGCCGGCCAAGAAGCACCACCACCCTCAAACAGACAGCTGCGGCTTATCGGACCTCTCTAAAAAAGAGCAACGTGGCCCATCTTAACCAGCCTGGGAAGGAGGAGCCTATTTGTAAATCAGCCAGGGAGACAGAGACCCACTGAGCCCCCCTTACGGCAGTCTCTTATAAGCCATCCTCCTGCCCAAAAGACCCCTTTCACATCACAGCAACGGCTATACACAACCTCACTGCCTCCACACGTAGCAACAGCTGTTAGCCAGCATGGCATGTAGAAGGTGCTGATCAACAGTTATCCCAGAACGTAAGAACATAAGAGAAGCTAGTGTTGGATCAGGCCAAAGGCCCATCCAGTCCAACACTCTGTGTCACACAGTGGCCAAAAATACCAGGTGCCCTCAGGAGGTCCAGCAGTGGGGCCGGGCCATTAGAAGCCCTCCCACTGTCCCCCCCCCCCAAGCACCAAGAAGACAGAGCATCACTTGCCCCGGACCGAGAGTTCCTCTCTATACCTTGTGGCTAATAGCCACTGATGGACCTCTGCTCCATATGCTTATCTAATTCCCTCTTGAAGCTGTCCACACTTGTAGCCGCCGCCACCTCCTGTGGCAGTGAATTCCATGTGTTAATCACTCTTTGGGTGAAGAAGGACTTCCTTTTATCCGTTCTCACCCGACCGCTCAGCAATTTCATGGAGTGCCCACAAGTTCTCGTATTGTGAGAAAGGGAGAAACATCCTTCTTTCTCGACCTGCTCTATCCCAGGCATAGTCTTACAAACCTCGATCATGTCACCCCTCAGCCGTCGTTTCTCCAAGCTAAAGAGCTCCCAAGCGCTTTAACCTTTCTTCATAGGGAAAGTGCTCCAACCCTTTTATCGTTCTAGTTGCCATTTTCTGCACTTTTCCCAATGCTATCATATCCTTTTTGAGGTGTGGTGACCAGCCATGAGGGCTAAATGAAACTTCCCTCTCTCTCAATTCCAGCTGGAAGGGGGCAGCAGCAGGGAAAACTCTGACTCCTGGGCCTTTCAGAAATGTCCCTGCGCCACTGTCCGAAACGGCACGAGAGATGAGATGGACTGTTCATCTGACCCAGCTGGGCTCTTGCTCTGTTCTGGAGCACATCTCAACAGCTGTGTAAAGAAAGCTGCTCAAAAGCTCTTTCCAAAGGCAAAAAGACTAGGCTTTTCTTTAGCTGCTTTGGTTACAGCCACGGGGTATAACCTACACCCCGTTGATTCTCAGCTGAATCCACTTCCAGCACTGTGTGAGAGTGGGATTAGGGGCAGTGTTCCCTCTAAGATGAGTCAGTGTGAGCTAGCTCACAGTTTTTTAGCCTCTGCTCACACATTTTTGTCCTGGCTCAGGGAGGATGGCTCCAGAGCAAACTAATTTATGCAGCAGCCAGATCACCTGCTCACAACTTTAATGCTGGTAGCTCACAAAATAGAATTTTTGCTCACAGGACTTCACGGCTTAGAGGGAGCATTGATTAGGGGGTACAATTGGAGAACTTGGTGCTTGGGGGGGGGAGACGACGACAGTGGGAGGGCTTCTGGAGTTCTGGCCCCGCTTGCTGGACCTCCTGACGGCCCCCTGGGCTTTGGCCACTGTGTGACACAGAGTGCTGGAGTGGGCTGGCCACTGGCGTGATCCAACAAGGCTTTTCTTATGTATGGGGGGCAGTGATGCTCTGTCTCCTTAGTGCTTGGGGGGCCACAGTGGGAGGGCTTATGGAGTTCTGACCTCGCTGGTGGACCTCCTGATGGCCCCTGGGTCTTGGCCACTGTCTGACACAGAGTGCAGGATTGGAGGGCCATTGGCCTGATCCAACATGGCTTCTCTTATGTCTGGGGCAGTGATGCTCTGTCTTCTTGGTGCTTAGGGGGGAGGGCAACAGCGGGAGGGCTTCTGGAGTTCTGGCCCCACTGCTGGACCTCCTGATGGCCCCTGGGGTTTTGGCCATTGTGTGACATGGAGTGCTGGAGCGGACTGGCCACTGGCCTGATCCGACAAGGCTTCTCTTATGTTTTTATGACCACTCTCTCTAACCAGGACTGACACGGCTGTGCGATGGATGCTGGGTGCACCTACCGCCTGCGGGTTTTCGGAACCCTCGGAGCAGCTGGGAAGGGTCCCTTGCGATCTCCGTCCTGCTGCGCGCCGCGGCGTTGGGCAGGGCTGAGGAGCTGCTGCTGCTCTCACTGCCCGCTTGTCTTCCTGTGAAACCTGAAAGAAAGGCACAGGGGGGTAAAGCCGTGGAAGCGCCACTGGCCATGCTCCGCAGCGGCACACGCAGAGCTCTCTCGAGATCAGGGGGAAGTGCTCCTGAGCGCACACTTAGGGGTGCCACAGCTTTGCCGGCTGCTCTCCGTCTCTCCCCCTGCAAACCCCAGGAATATTGGGGAGAAAGAAGATGACACTGGATTCATACCCCACCCTTCACTCGGGAGCCTCAAAGCGGCTTACAATCTCCTTTCCCTTCCCCTCCCCACAACAGACATCCTGGGAGGTGGGTGGGGCTGAGAGAGCTCTTTCCTGATCTGCCCTTGAGAGAACAGCTCTGAGAGAACTTGTGAATGACCCAAGGTCACACGAGCCAGGTGCAAGTGGAGGAGTGGGGAATCAAACCCGGTTCTCCCAGATTAGAGTCCGCGCACTTCACCACTACACCAAACTGGGAGGCCCACATTCGAGTCCCCACTCTGCCGTGGAAGCCTGCTGGGTGACCTTGGGCCAGTCACACACTCTCAGAGACTGCTCTACCTCGCAGGGCTGTTATTATGAGAATAAAATGGAGGCGAGGAGAATGATGCAAGCCAGTTTGGGTCCCCATTGAGGAGAAAGGTGGGGTATAAATGTAGTAAGTAAACATCTGCCAAAGACAAACAGCTAATCCTGGTAGAGGGCCCACTGAAGGAGAAGGGGAAGAAGAGAAGAAGAGGAAGAGGAAGAAGAGATTGGATTTATACCCCGCCCTTCACTGCCCAAGGGAGTCTCAGAGCGGCTCACAAACTCCTTTCCCTTCCCCTCCCCACAACAGACACCCTGCGAGGTAGGCAGGGCTGAGAGAGATCTTGACAGAAACGTCTCTTTTTCAAGAACAGCTCTTATCAGAACTACGGCTTGCCCAAGGTCATCCAGCAGGTGCAAGTGGAGGAGTGGGAAATCAAACTCGGTTCTCCCAGAATAGAGTCCGCACACTTAACCATGACACCAGACTGGCTCTCACACCAAACTGGCTGGAGAGGGGATGGAGAATCTGGAGCAGCCTGGAACGGACCGGTCTACTGCACGGGTCAAAGTCAGCCTGCCCAGCCCCCTCTGGTTTCAAAGCTCCCCCTTCCATCTGGGGTCTCTGCCCCTCCTCTTTAACAGCAACAGTGTTCTTTTTGCACAAGGCCTAGATGTAGCCACTGTGGAAGTCACAAGAACACACAAAAGGCGGCAATATTATGGTTTCAGTGCATGGATGGTTTCTCTTATCCATACACTGGTGACAGAAAGCAAGTGACGGACAGGTTAAGCTGCTCGGGATCACCCTGAAAATACACCACAGCCAGTGAAGAAACCCACAGATATCTCCAGTTGAGGCAAAATGGAATCCCCCACCCCACCCTTCACTGCTGTTAAGTCAGGCATGGGAATTTCTAAGCCTGTGGGACAGATTCTCCCTTTCCTTTTTACCGTCCATGTCTCAGGAAGCCACATTCTGGGTAAGTTTCTGGCTACAGTCAAGTCAGATCGAACCACAGTGATCCACACCTTAATTACACCTTGACTGGACTACTGCAATGCACTCTACTTGGGGATGCCCTTGAAGAGTATGCAGAAGCTGCAGTTAGTGCAGAATGCTGCGGCTAGACTGTGGGTGGGGGACTGCTATTGGGAGTGTGCAACCCCCAGCACCACAGCGATTGGTAAATAAGCTCCATAACCCTGTTGGACTGGCCCTCGGGAAGCCGTGAAGATCTATCAACCCAGGGGTGGGGCTCTGCTTACCTGACGAAGTCTCCATGTGAGCTCCGTTTACTTTCAGGGGCGTCAAAACCACACGAGGAAGCATCACGCCCGTTTTTTTCTTCTGTTTGCTTGTCTATATTGCGGAGGAGACCAAGGGACAGACAGGGTTGGCAGGAAAGTATCAGTATTACTGAAGGGGACGAGCAGCCTCTCCTAGTAAGAAGGTCTAGAGAGCTTCACCACGTATGCTCAGCAGAAAGGAGGGATCTGAACTCCAGCATCACTCTTGGGCAACTGCAACTCTTTGCTACCTACTGCAAAGCAGCCAACGTTGGCAGTCGCATCTGATCTCAATGAAGATACGGGAGAACATTCCAAGGACCAAGCACCAGGGGATGCGAGGATCACAATACTACTTGACTTTTGTGTTACCTTTCAAACAGTGGACACCTTCCCATCCACCAACGAGAAGAAACCTTCACAGGAAGTCTGGTGTTCTGTTTTAATGTTGTGGGCACTTTATAGAAGTTAATTTATGATAATTTCCCATCTACTATTTGCAAAGTGAGACAAAAGTCAAGCAATAATGCAACCCTCTACGATTCCTGCAGAACTGGAAGACGGTCTTCATGTGTCAAGACTCCACAAACCCTCTGAAATGTTAAGACATGAGCTCGGACTGATTTTTTAAAAAAATCTTTGTGTCATCAAACCAGAAGTGGCTACCTCAAGCATAGGAATCGATTTCCTCCCCCCTTTTTCACTTTTTACATTTCTCAGGAAGACACATTTCTGGGTAAGTTGCAGTGCTGGGCAGAGAACCACGTCAAAGGTAGCAATGGCAGAAGAGGCCAATGTCATTTTATTTTCCCACACACCCCCTACCTGGCCTGGTCTCTCCAGCACCTGTGACGCTCCTACCTGCGAAGCTGCTCTGTGGCTTTCCCGTAAAGCAGGTGTGTTTTTGCTCTGAGGCTCAGTGGAACAAGAGGCATTTGAAGAGGTTTCGTCTAGAGACACTGGAAAGGGGAAAAAACCACCCCATCAACATCCACGGGAAACACAAGCAGTCCAAGATCGGGGTGGACGGACACTCACCGTCATTGTCGCCGCTCACGGTGCTGGCTTCGTTGGAGCCGCTGCTCTCAGCATCGACAGCATCATCCAGCTCTTCTCCTTCCGGGGCAGACAGGCTCCGAGACCACTGCACAGCATCCTTCTAGAGGGACCAAGCAGAGCCTTTTTCTCGTGCAAAGCACAGAGACTAATGCAGTTCGGCTGAAGAACAAGGGGGGGACCTGGAAGGCCCGGTATTTAATGACCAGGGCAAGGATCCTCAACAACGGTGCCCACTAACACCTCTCCTGACACCCACTGAGCATTTTCAGACAGTGGGCAGGACCTGATGGGGATTTTGCCACCAGGGATTTTTTTGACTGGCTGTGCAGATTTTTTAAAAACAAACTTCATTTGCAAAAGGCCTCCTGTTAAGCACAATGTCTGCCTGAAAGGCTGAAGACTTGCTATGAGAGTTATGCATACCCTCGACATTTTGCGGCTGGCTCCACCTTTGGCGGCAGCCATTTGGTGACTGTGCCCAACGCCCTGTGCCAGAATTCCAAAGACGCCTCAAGGCTGAAAAAGGGTCAGGACCTCAGCGCTAGGGTTAGTGAGGCCTGTGACGTCCTGCTTATTGGGGAGACGCTTTCTCCTTTAAAACACACTCTGTGTACATGAACTTAGTAGACTTCTGCTGCCACCAGGAATTAAAAATTCTAAATCTCTCTCTTTTGGTAGAATGACCCAGTGTCTGGGCACTTCAGAGGACTATGTGGCCCTGAGGAAGGACTGTTCTGATTGCTGGGATAAGTTTAAACAAAAAATGATTTATTTATAAAAGAACAAAATCGGTTTCTGGGTATTTTGAACTGCTGCTGAAGAAAGAAAATATAACTGACAAAGCTTGGCATCACACACAGTCTCTCAAACACCAAAACTCAACTCTGACAGGCTTATCTCTCTCTCTCTCTCTCTCTTTCTCATATAGCCACACAGGCTAAACCCTCTCATATAGCCACACAGGCTAAACTTTCTCTCTCATAGCCACACAAGCTGAACTCTCTTGCTCATATAGCCACACAGGCTGAACTCCCAACTACTGTCAGTTAACACTGCCATGTCTCTGGAATGTGTGGGGAGGCATCCTCCTTTCTCAATCTGGTACACTAACAATGTCTCCTGTCTGGGTTGTTATCTGTTTATACTTTTCTGACCTTGGGGTTCCAGCTGCTCCTGACCTGCTGGGAACAAACGGCTTCTATTCTGCCTGCTCACTTTTCTCCCCTGCACGCGCGCACAATGCTTATTGGCTTTTGCTTGTAATGGGGGGTGCTTTGAAACTACTGTAACTTTGGGTGCCCCGCTGCTTTGGGCCATTCTTGACAAAAAACGTTCATGTGTCATAGTTATGAACTACCAATAAACAGAATACTTCTTATGAAGCGCTGTGTGGTGTGATCTGACTATGGAACCTGACAACTACTTCCTCTGTCATACAGACTCTCACAAAAACTCTCCACGCTCGTCTCTTCACGAACACCGAATCACCTCAGTGACATCTCTCATCCCACTCTCTCAGTCATCAGCCAGTCACATCACACTTGTCTCCCTCTATCACTCTGCTTATATTACTGCAGTCAAACTAAACATTTAAAGAAACACATACACCAAAACATGAAATCATTACAAGGCCATTAGCTACTCTAGTGAGCAGGTGGAAAAAAATTAACAAGCACTCTCTTCAGCACTCCACGTGTCAGATTGGCAGGTCTTCCTGGACCTTGGAACAATAAAGGATATCCTACAAGCGGTAAAAGAGAAAGGGAAACCTGGCTGGACAAACGAGGAGTTAGCCACACTCGCTGCACCGAGCTCCTGGACCCAACGAAATTCTAGAGCCATGTTGTGTATGACCCCTCTCCCGCATGCTGGATGCTGAACTCATACAATATTCACCAGCCAGCTGAACCTTCACGCAGTCCCTGGACTGGAGGGAGGGAGACCGGATCTTACCTTCAGGCTGAACAGGCTGATGCGCCCAGGGAGCTTGTAGAAAAGTCCATCGCAGCTTCTGGAATTTGAGTGAAGCATGGCGTTCAAGCAGGCCAGTGGGGAGGTGCCACTGAGGAGAAAGAAAAGGAAGCTCAGGAATGGACCGCAGTGGATGACGGCGCGTTTCAGTGTCCCGGCTATGCCAACCTAACGGCAGCACTGGCACTTGTGAAAACAACCGTGTTGCTGAGATGCTTTCAGGCCTATTTAACGACACAAATATCATGTCCTCTGCGCCAACTTCCCAACGGAAGATAGAGCCAGGTGGTCAGCCGTGTTGGTGTGAAGCACTAGGACTAATTTAGAGTCCAGGGAGGCACCTTTAAGACCAACAAAGGTTTATTCGAGATACAAGCTTTCGTGTGCAAGGCACGCTTTTTCAAATACGATGGAATGGTGTGTAAGGTTCAAACTTATACACAGGGAAATTAACATGTAACACGATGGTGTTTAAGATAGGCAAAGTCCAAAATAACAATATTATTTATTTATATTTATTTATTTGTTAGATTTATACCCCACCCTCCCCAGCAGGCTCAGGGCGGCTACAACAAAGGCAATTGCCATAACAACCGTTAAAACAACATAAAAACAGTCATTAAACAGTAAAAACAATCATTAAATAAAGTGCGGTGCTCTTGATGTTAACATTTTTCTCAATCCAAGATGAGCTCCATTCATCAACCTAACCTGGCAGCATGCATTATTTGGTTACCTAGGCGTCTGCCCAGGGCCGGCTCACCTCCAGATCTAATCCACCGTCGAAGATGGCAACTCGGTGGTGGTACAGTGACGGCGGCGGCTCCTATCCAAAGGCCTGGAGGAAGAGCTCCGTCTTGCAAGCCCTGCGGAACTGCGCCAGGGCCCGCAGGGCCCGAACCCGCTCTGGGAGCTCATTCCAGCAGACAGGAGCCACCGCCGAAAAAGCCCTGGCCCTGGTTGCAGCCAACTTGATGTCCTTGGGGCCGGGAACCATCAATAGGTGCTGCGAACCCGACCGTAGCGCTCTTGGGGGAACATATGGAGAAAGGCGGTCCCTTAGGTACGCTGGACCCTGGCCATCAAGGGCTTTATAGGTAAGAACCAGCACTTTGAAGCGAATCCGGTATGCTATAGGCAGCCAGTGCAGTGCCTTCAGCACAGGCTGGATGTGGTCCCGTCTAGTAAGACCCATCAACAGCCTGGCCACCGCATTCTGCACCAGCTGCAGCTTCCGGATTAGCGACAAAGGCAGCCCCATGTAGAGAGCACTGCAGTAGTCCAACCTTGAGGAGACCGTCGCATGGATCACAGTGGCCAAGTCATCGCGGTCAAGGAAAGGAACCAACTGCCGCGCCAGCCGGAGATGGTAAAAGGCTGACTTGGCAGTGGCTGCCACCTGGGCCTCCATTGATAAGGTGGCATCCAGGAGCACTCCCAAACTCCTAACCCTCGACACCGGCACGAGCGGCGCCCCATCGAAGGCCGGGAGAGGGAGCCCCAGCCACGAACCGACCCGACTTAGGCCCAGGACCTCCGTCTTCGCCAGCCGACTCAGTCTGAGCCAACCAGCCACAGCTTGAAGTGCCCGATGAAGGTCATCTGGGTTGGAGTTCGACTGGCCGCCCAACATCAGATAGAGCTGGGTGTCATCCGCATATTGATGACACCCAAGCTCAAACCTCCGGCAACAGGGCGCATATAGATGTTAAATAACATCGGGGACAGCACTGCCCTCTGAGGCACCCCACACTCAAGCGGATGCCTCTGGGACTGCTATTCCCCTATCGCCACCCTTTGTCCCCGACCTTGCAGGAACGAGGCAAACCATTGAAGGGCGAGCCCCTGAATCCCCACGTCGGCAAGGCAGTGGGCCAGCAGCTGATGGTCAACTGTATCAAAAGCAGCCGACAGATCTAACAACAGCAATGCCGCCACACCGCCTCGATCCAGATGCCTATGGAGGTCGTCAGTCAGGGCGACCAAAGCCGTCTCCGTCCCATGACCCGGGCGAAAACCGGACTGGAAGGGATCTAGGACTGAAGCATCCTCCAGAAAGCCCTGTAGCTGTGACGCCACCGCCCTCTCTATAAGTTTGGCCAAATAGGGCAGATTGGACACCGGCCGATAGTTGGCCAATTCAGCCGGGTCCAAAGATGGCTTTTTCAAGAGAGGGCGGACCATCGCCTCCTTGAGTGCTCCGGGGAACCATCCTTCCAAAAGGGACTTGTTGGTAATCTCCCGCAGAGCACCTCGAAACCCCTCATGGCCCGCTTTAATGAGCCAGGAGGGGCACGGATCAAGGACGCATGTGGTTGATCAAGCGAAGATTAATCTTAGATCAAGCTAAAATTATAAGGTCAACAGCTGTAAAGCAATAAATATCCTGACATATTTACACATAATCCCAATGTATTTGAAAAAGTGTGCCTTGCACACGAAAGCTCGTACCTTGAATAAACCTTTGTTGGTCTTTTCCCTACTGAAAATACTGACTGCTAATCCAAACCTACCCCCTAAACAGGAGATATTGGGCTCAGCCCCTGTAGGTACCTGCCGAGACCAAGGCTACTACCCAGTACCTGGAGTCACTTACCTATTACTGAACATACCCAGGGAGGTGCACCTGGGCCCCCCTCACTTTCAGTGTTCAGGAGGCATCTGAAGACAGCTTCATTTAGGGATGCATTTCACCAATTTAGTTTTTATTTACTGAGCGTCCTAATTGGAGATTTTAAATTGTCGTTTATGTGCGTTTTTATGTATCTTTGCTTTATTTATACAGTAAGCTGCTTTGAGTTTCACAAGATAGCAGGTAATGTTTTAAAATAAATAAATAAAACTCTATTGAGTAGTTTTTACTTGTCTGACACTGCTTTTAGAATTACTTTCTCAAGCACTACTATGTTATTGTCATCTTAGAAGTTTTCACAAGCAGTATTATGGCAATTTCTACTACATGTGCCAACTCAATGTAATGCTGGGGGGGTGGGCTTTTAGAGGTGATATCAACTGGAATTATCAAACAGGTATTTATTTTAAAAATAAATAAGATGTGCATGTTGTACCTGGGCATTGTACCTATGCGTGAACTGCAAATTAATTGTGCATTTACAGACACACTCTGTCTTCTGGCTTTCTTCCCCTTTTTGGGTGTTTTTTACACAACTGCGGAGGCCGTTACAAGAAGACGCGATTAATAAAAACAGAACTGAAAGAACAGGCCAGGTTTTCATTCTCGGAAATAAAACCATGAAGTTCTTGTTTGTTTGTTTCAACTTGTCCAAAAAGGAAGCAGACCTGGAACGACTCCTGCTTTCTCCTCCAATATAATTTGCGTGCTAAATTCTTTTTGTAAAATTCCTTCGGCTGCCTCTGAGGTAACCCAAGACATTCTTTGGAAAAGAAGGGGAAAACCCCAGCTGCCTCTTCTACTAGTCACGGGACACTACCCAGTCAAAGACAAAATGGAATGCAGAGGGGAGTCTGCAAACCACAGAACTTGGTCTCCCCCACAGAAGTCTCTTGCAGAAGTCACACACACACACACACACACACACACACACACACACACACACACACACACACACTTCTCTCTCTGTGTTTTAGAAGGTAAAACGTCAATATTCACGCTCACCAGTGTCCCTTAAACCTCTCAGTCTGAATACAATTAAGCTCCAAAGAATTAAGGCACATAACTATTAAAGCGCTAACAAGCAACCAGCAAAAAATGTTGCTCCACTGTTGTCTTACTTCTGTAACCAGACCTCTGCAAATAACTATTTGCGAGTACCCTACAATTCTGTCTCGCCAGCAGAAACAGCTCGGTATGCCGGCAGAACGGAGTCACGAGATACGCCTCCCAAATAACATGCAGCAGCAAGATCAATTCGCGAGGCTGAACTTCTTAGAACAAAAGACCGGTCAGCGCTTCTGCCAAGCCAAATCAGATGATCAGCTGCAAACTGATTCACCTTATGTCAAAAATGACAAGTTGATTTTCGTTTTGCTTTTAACACAAGTGTACTTTCAGGAACATAACCTAGCCCTCCTGCACTCTATTGCCAAGTGCTCCTTACAAATGATAGGGAGAAACTGAGAGTGGAAGATATCCATTAGCACCACCGCCCTCCCCCCAATCTTCCTTCCTCTACTTCTAGACAGCAGGGAGTGAAAGACTGACATTAGCTGCTCTCTTGCACCCACCTGGATTTAGGCCCAATTCTTACCGAAAGAGGTACACCTGCGTCTGGAGTCCACCACCCCAGACTGCCAGAATGGATTCGCACAACAGAGTTCTCCCCGTGCAAAACAAAATCCCCTCCATGCGACGCTAGCATATCAGGAAGTTCGTACGCAGTCCTCTCCCTGAATAGCCAATTTTCCATGCATAGGATTTACTTATTCATCGGTTTGCAGGAACATTTAAAAAAATATATATTTTATTCTGCTTTTTACCCAAATAAAATGGGGCCCAAAGTAGGATATAATAAAACAAGAACCAGGAACTCTACAAAAAAAGAGAATCACCACATACCAAAGGTAAAACTAGACAACACGTTACCGTGAAAAGCGCTGGCTTACAGCAGGTACCTTTATTCAGTTTGGTGTAGTGGTTAAGAAGAAGAGGTGAGTGGATTTATCCCCCACCCTTCACTACCCAGAGGAGTCTCAGAGCGGCTTACAAACTCCTTTCCCTTCCCCTTCCCACAACAGACACTCTGTGAGGTTGGTGGGGCTGAGAGAGCTCTGACAGAAACGGCTCTTTTTCAAGAACAGCTGTGCCAGGACTATGGCTTGCCCAAGGTCACACCAGCAGCTGCATGTGGAGGAGTGGGGAATCAAACCCGGTTCTCAGAGATTAGAGTCTGTGCACTTAACCACTACACTGAGCTCTAATATGGGAGAACCGGGTTTGACTCCCCACACCTCCACTTGCACCTGCTGTATGACCTTGGGCAAGCCATAGTTCTGATAAGAGCTGTTCTTGAAAAAGAGCCGTTTCTGTCAAGAGCTCTCTCAGCCCCACCTACCTCACAGGGTGTCTGTTGTGTGGAGGGGAAGGGAAAGGAGTTTGTAAGCAGCTCTGAG